AAAAAAAAAAAAAAAAAAAAAATGCTCAAGACATATTTGTTTGTCTTGAGTCTCCGATTTTCTCATTTACATGTAATTTCTTTGTAAGTTCCATAGCAATTGAGCGCGAGTAATTGGCAAAATTAAACAAAATGAACCGGACTGCCGTGACACAGCCCCTTTAAATGAATATTTAAAAAAACGAACTGTTAAAAATTCAGTATGATGGACAATAAAAGGATTTTGCAAAAACCACAGTGGTTCGCAAAAAAGAGGTTCGAGGCTCGCAGGCTTGCAGTTACTCTCTCAGATGACGCGGCTCCCTCTCTTCAGATCCAACCTATTTTCTTAGACCTTCTTACCTTTCCCAATGACTGGGTATGTGATCGCGAAAAAGGTTTGAATTAGAAATAGCCTGCGAACACAGACGTATTATTTTAGGGAAACGACGACAGGAAGTACGTTGCACAGTTGTCGTATCCCAAAGGCCCGGATGTGTGCGTTATTTACCAAAGATATTGTGTGACAACATTAATTATTCACAATCACAGTGACGATGCAGTCACATTTATTTTTTTCACATTACTCGTAGAAACTTTTGGTCAAAGCGTTGAACATGGGCCATTATTCAAAGGGGTCTGAAAAACTACCCTTGACCGAAAGCACATTGCACGGTTGTCGTACCCCAAAGGCCCGGATGTCTGCGTTATTTAGCAAAGATATGGAGATCAATCACGGTGACGATGCAGTCTATTTCACATTTATACAGCTCACCAGTTCAGTGCCGTTAGCAGAGTTACTAGTAGAAAATTTTCGTCAAAGCGTTGAACATGGGCCATTATTCAAAGGCATCTGAAAAACCACTCTTGACCGGAAGTACGTTGCACCGTTGTCGTACCCAAAAGGCCCGGATGTTTGCGTTATTTAGAAAAGGAGGGGGACGTAAGGGAGGGGTAGTTTCGAAAACGAAGCACTCGAAAACGAAGACCGAAGCACGAAGCACCCAAAACTCGAAAACGAAGCACCCAAATCTCGAAAACGAAGCACCCAAAACTCGAAAACGAAGCACCCTAGATCGAAAACGAAGCACCCAAAACTCGAAAACGAAGCACCCAAAAACTCGACACCGGTCTTTCCTTTATAAACACGAGACCAATGTAAATACAGCAGAAATCAAGCGCGATAACGAGTATTCGATAACGAATCGAATGCAGTTCAACTACTCAAGTTGTAAATGCATTTCCACCGCTGCGTGGGAGGCCCGGTGGGAGGCTATGTTTTGGACGTGATCAGAAAACTGAGAACGCCCAAACTATTTCTAGAATATTACTGTATTGCCGTATTACTGTATTGCAAGTATCCCCGTACAAAAATGATGAGCGTTTTCTATTCCATTCCTCGTTAAAGGCCATTTGCAAATTAGTGTAGTTAAAGGTGGATCGGTGGCATAAAAAGCATATCTTCAGGCTTCGCCCCACCGACCTCCTTCTCAGTAGCTTAACTCTCCTTTTTTTATTCGCTCCTTTTATTTCAAAATTCTCCTGTTCCCCACCATAGAGCCTGATCCCAGGCTATTACCCTAGAACAAATTCTGCCTGGATCTGATCTGATCTGATCACGCAGTGGCATAAATATCCGATATGGTAGACTGCAAAACAGTCGGTTTTTTTCTCAAAATCAGTAAAGAAGTCGGTAAAGCGTGGCGTAAGAGTAATACGCGCGAGCGTCACACTCCGTTTTCAGCCTCGTTTCAGACCTTTAGTGTTACTGCTCACGCGTACTTGAATACGCCAAAATCTGCTGACGGACAGTTTTTTCAAGTCTACATAAACATGCATGTGTACCGAAAAAACGCATATTAAGGTAAGATGTATCAAGTATAGCGAGACCAATAATAAAATTAATACACTGTATCCCATCTAGAAACGTTCAGTTAAACAGTTGGCAGGCTCTTATAAAACCTTGGGATGGATTTTGTGGACCTTTGGAGGTGCGGACGCATCCGCTGCCTCCACCTGATTCGGATTGCGTCATGCAAGACGTACAGCCGACAGTGGTTTCGAGTTTTGGGTACTTCGTTTTCGAGATTTGAGTGCTTCGTTTTCGAGATTTTGGGGTCTTCGTTTTCGATCTAGGATGCTTCGTTTTCGATCTAGGGTGCTTCGTTTTCGAGTTTTGGGTGCTTCGTTTTCGAAGGTTTAGGGTGCTTCGTTTTCGAGGTTTGGGTGCTTCGTTTTCGATCTAGGGTGCTTCGTTTTCGAGATTTGGGTGCTTCGTTTTCGAATTCTGGGTGCTTCGTGCTTCGGTCTTCGTTTTCGAGTGCTTCGTTTTCGAAACTACCGTAAGGGAGGTACCAATACCGCAAAACCGCACAGAAATACGTGTAATACCGCACAGAATAACATAAGAAAACCGCAAACCGCATTGAAATTACCCGAAAATTTCTAAATACCGCAAACTGCTTGCTTTTGTAAAACTGCATTACCGCAACTTAAAATAAAAATCACCGCAAAACCGCGCCAAAAATCGAGCAAAACCGCATCACCGCAAACCCTTACACCCCACTCGCAAAGATATGGAGATATTGTGTGACAACATTAATTATTCACAATCACAGTGACGATGCAGCCAGAGCTCACCAGTTCAGTGCCGTTAGCAGAGTTACTGGTAAAAAATTTTCATCAAAGCGTTGAACATGGCTCATTATTCAAAGGCATCTGAAAAACCACTCTTGACCGGAAGTACGTTGCACGGTTGTCGTACCCCAAAGGCCCGGATGTTTGCGTTATTTAGCGAAAGATATGGGGATATTGTGTGACAACATTAATAATTCAATATCACAGTGACGGTGCAGTTTACTTTCACATTTATAGAGCTCACCAGTTCAGTGCCGTTAGCAGAGTTACTGGTAGACACCTTTCGTCAAAGCGTTGAACATGGGCCATTATTCAAAGGGATCTGAAAAACCACCCTTAAAGGGAGACCGCCTTCGTCTGTACAGCATGCGATTCTGTCCCTTTGCTCAGGTACTGTACTCACGCACTGTAGCACTCTGAACAATCCGACTTTCGCTTGCAGTAATAGGCGTGCCAAGTCATGCTACTGCCGTGCTTTGCTGTCGTGCTATACTAAGGAAATATACTAAGGGCGAATGTACATTAATTTGATCAACTGAGTAAGGATGTAGCACGACGTTTGAAACGGGCCTTGGCCGTTCAGGGATTCTATTTTCGCCACCCAGAAATCAACTAGGCGAGTAAAGAGTTCTAACAGTTTTTCAAACTAAGCCATCTAATCTTCATTTGCAAACCTTTATTTAAAGTTCATCCCGGTACGTCTCTGATCGCACCCTGCCTTTATATTATTTTTCTTGAAACATCCTGCACTACCCACCCTATAATGACCCCAAGCGGGATCAGAAGTAAGTTTCTCTTTGTAATATCAGTGCTTTATAAAACAGAGTGGTTATGAGAATTAGAAATTATAATTAAGTATACTTGGAAATTTTTTAATAAAGGTTGAATAAAGTTAGGGACGTGATCACACAAAATGAATTCAATTGATACTTTTAACTTCTCCCCAATATATGAGGACAAGAAACAAGAAATTATACTTAGCTATCAGGGATTATAGGGTTAAAGGGACAGGTTCAAGGTTAAGCACATGTTCATTAATTGAGTTACTTTTTTCCAAATTATTATTTATTCTATCGGTTAATAATCCCACTCACATGTATCTCAGCGATCTCAGAGTGTAATTCAAAGTAGAACTGTATTTCAGGGTTACCCGAAGTAGAATGGAGGAGTACTAAAATCACAGGAAAAATTAGTGGATTATGCCTGCACTACCAACGTTGAATTTATTGTTGACTTGAAGTTTTTACTCCATGGTTGATTAATTTACAGCTATTTGCAAATATTTAAGTTGATCAAGTGCAAGTGAGTGCTAGAGGAGTGTGCAGATTGGTTCTTTGACAATATTATGACATGATCATATTGCTTGCATAGATGATACAGCATGACCTGGCAGAAAAACAACATTTTGATAAATGAGCATGCGCTGAACCGTGAACCTGTCCCTTGATGTAATCTCCTGATGAGTTCATCATATAATCTATCTACAGAGAGCCCGTCTCGTTTTAGCTGCTAAAGGCATCAATTATGAGTGCGTGAACATCAACTTAAAGGACAAACCCGATTGGTTCTTTGAGTTA